GTGAATTTAAGAAATCACACCCCCATAGAGTGCATTACCCCACTATGTAGACAAGCCAAAGAAAACTAAGTAATCATGGGATGAGATATGAAGTTCTGTCATGCATTAGAAAGAAGCTGAGAGAGAAAACAAAGAGAAGAGAAAAAGAGTTAATTTTCATTAGCAGTGGGGTGATCTGGCTCTGTACAAGATATTAATACAATTTCTGGAATAGGAAGGTGGGCAGTGAGGTTACAAAACTTTGCAGATTACACAAAATTATTGTTTAAATTGAGTTTACTCAAGACCACAGAGTATTATGCAGAACATCAGAGGAACCTAAACATGATAGGGTGACCAGATAGCACCACAAAATTCAGTGCAGACCAATGCAATATAATGCACACTGAAATAAATAAATTGAACTTCTCATACACCTTGTAGGGTTCTCAATTAACTGTAATTACTCAGGGAAAATACTTAAGCATTGAAAAGTCATAGATTTTAAAGACCAGAGTGACCATTATGACCACTTACCACAACCTTGACCATGACCATGACCTCCTAGGGAAGCCACCTTCCATCACCCTCCTTACTAAACTACCTCCTTCGAGCCCAAGACATTACTACACCAAACATTCACAACTAATAGCAACGGTAGTTTGGTTAAAGAGGTTTGTGGTAAAAGCTAGATTGAGGGAGCTAGTGTTAAGGTGGCAGAACGTGGTCTGGGTCTTATGGCACTTCTGGTAAGGTGAATGCCTTTGGGCAGAGGAATAGAGAGTATGTTCTGAAAATGATTAGGGGGCTGGGGCACATGGCTTATGAGGAGAGGCTGAGGGAACTGGGCTTATTTAGTCTGCAGAAAAGAAGATTGAGGGGGGATTTGAAAGCATCCTTCAACTACCTGAAGGGGGTTCCAAAGAGGATGAAGCTCGGTTGTTCTCAGTGATGCCAGATGACAGAACAAGGAACAATGGTCTCAAGTTACAGTGGAAAAGGTCTAGGGTGGATATTAGGAAAAACTATTTCACTAGGAGGGTGGTGAAGCACTGGAATGGGTTACCTAGGGAGGTGGTGGATTCTCCATCCTTAGAGGTTTGTAAGGCCCGGCTTGACAAAGCCCTGGCTGGGATGATTTAGTTGGGGTTGGTCCTGCTTTGAGCAGGGGGTTGGACTAGATGACCTCCTGAGGTCTCTTCCAACCCTAATCTTCTATGATTCTATTATCCCATGATTCTTGCTGTATATTCCATCTGAATCATTATGGAGACAATGAAAACCTCTGTTCACTATGCTGCAACTGTCAAAAAAAGACAATGAATTGTAGAGAATGGGATGGAAAAAAATACGGACACTATTGTGCAATTACAGAAATGAATGGGACACCTTCACCTGGAACATTTTGTTAATTCAGGCTACCATATCTCAAGAATGATATGGAAGAAATAGAAGGGATTCAGTGATAAAAGACCAGAAGAAACTTCCATGAGACTGAAAAGACTAGGACTGTTCAGTTTAGCAAAGAGATGAATGGAGGCAACCAGGCTAATGAGCAACTTAGTGAAGGTAAATTGGGCACCCATATTTACCCACTCATATAATAACAAGGGACAGTCAGTGAAATAGAAAGGTAGCACATTTAAAACTGATAAAAGGAAGCTTTACTGTCCCGTGAGTTCTTGGAGACCAAGCGCCTAGCAGAGGGGTTTCCCTCATTCTGTAGAGAGGGCCAAGTTCTGTTTTTAATTATAGTGTGTGGGCTGGGCTGGTATATAAACTTAGGATAAAATATTTGCCTCCATCCACAGCTGATCTCCCATTGATAACAGTGAGAGTTATCCACAGAAAACCAGGGTAGAATGTTTATGTATAACCTAATCTTTTCATTATCTATATTTGTTCAATGCCTTACTCTGCTCCCTTTTCTCTCCCATCCTCCATTCTTTCTTTGTCTCTTCTGTCCTTGGGACTTTTCTTGTTTCATATTTCTGTATTTCCTTCCATGCAGTACCCTCCCAGTGGGTTTTATTCTCATTCATCTTCTAAAATTATTGGCAAATAATTGACATTTAAAACATAATGATTAGGCTTTAATGTTAACACACCATTGATATTAATGGAGTGAGGCAGTTTACACCTTTGAGTTTTTGTTTTAGGCTGTCTGCAGCCTCAGGATGACATCCCTACAGCAGTTTACATTCAGGTCACATTTTCAATGTTTTATCTGAGGACAAAAAATGTATTTAAAAAAATAAAACTTAAATTGTGCAGAATGTGACTGTGCTGCGCAGACCACATACATCAATATGGCCAGGTGTTTCACACTTCTAACTCTATAAGAGACAAAACAGGATTGGACATCTGAGCTTATGTTAGACAGAATACAAAACAAGAGAGACGGTTATTCCATAATTGATCACTAGCGGGTTTCCTGCACCTGTTGTTGAAGCATCTGGCACCGGTTACTATTAGAGGCAGGATACAGAACAATCTATATATTAATTTATCTGTCTATATCAGAGATTCTCAAACTGTGATCCGTGGACCACCAGTGGTCCCCGATCTCCATTCAGGTGGTCCGCAGATAGTTCCTTCTAAGGTGCGTGTTTGGGCGGCCGCACACAACAGAATGAAGGGCCACCCACCTAATTAGCGAGGCCACGCCGGCGTGGCTCCGCTAATTAGGTGCCTGGACCCTGGAGAAGACACACATGTAAGGTGCGATGGTGGCCTTGGGGGGAATAGAAGGTAGGTGAGAGGGGGTAATGGGATGAGAAGAGGGGGTGGGGGGAATTTGGGATGTGCAGGGCTGTGGCAGCCAGAGAAAGAGGCAACTTTCCCCAGCTCCAGGACTGCGGCTGCCGGAGAGAGACGGCCCTCCTTCCCAGCCTCAGCTCTGTGCCTGCTGTGGCGGGGAAGAATCCCCACTCCTTCCCAACCCCAGCTCGGGGACTGCCACAGTGGGGGAGAGAGGGCACATTCATCACATTAGAAAGGTAAGACTACTGATATTAAAATATGAGTTGTGTGCTTTTATTTATAGAATAAAAAAACAATTATTATTAAGTTTTTATTATATAGCGCTTTTATCCAAAGCGCTTTACAATAGTTAGCTAATGGTACAACAACACTGGGAAAGATCATTAAGTGGTTCGCCGAGACCCTCAGCAATTTTCAAGTGGTCCGTGAAAAAAAAAAATTGAGAACCGTTGAGTCTATAGCCATTCAGTCTCTCAATCAGTCATCCACCTCTCCAGGCCTTTCCCCTCTGCCCACCATTGCAGTAGTTACACACACAATATATTCAGATGTCCTGCTTACCCCAAAGTTTATTTTTCTTCCTTTTGGAGCCTTTATTTTACTGAATCTGAAATGCAGCAGGCATTGTACTGTGTAGATTAAGTTCTGTGAGGCAAGTACTGGTGTCTTTGAGGTCTTTAGCAGCCCCAAGGGCTTACTCTACTGACTTACTGATTCTTTTTATTAAATATCTCCCACAAAGCACTCAGTTCAAATGACATGGCTGTGTTAATGTTTCCCTGGAAGCCCCTGTGACCTGAATAGGATTCATGATTCTTGTACTTTTATAAAAAGTTGGAATTTCAAACCCTTGAAGAAAAGGTATTGCATCCCATTTCCCATACACATATTCCACCTGTTGCTGTAGCTACCCTCTCAATAGCCTCCTGTTTTGTCTGTATTCACCCCCTTTATATTTTTCTGAGCCTCTTTTATCTCCCATCCCCAAAGGAGCAGCTGGATGGCCATATATAAATCCCCTTTTGTACATTTCATATTTCCCTCTTCGTCTCCTCTTCTGTCCTTGGGACTTTTCTTCTTTCATATTTCTGTAAACACCCTTTCCTCCTTGTGACGGGCAAAAAGCTCATTGGCTGCCATTGGTGTGGAGGGAAGGGAGACAAGAGACCGGGGCACCTTGGAATTAGTAGAGAGCTGGTAAAGGGATATGACAGCTGCACTGGGTCTCCTGTAAAGTGACTATGAAAAGAGGAATGATTGGGGAATAATTTCAAATTTCTATCTAAGAGACAGACCTCAAAGATGTGAGTGCAGAGAAATTGTGCCTGGAGTAAAGTACATCTGGAGCAGCCAAAACATGTGGTCTGCAAAAAGGTAAGCAAAAGCCCCCAGGCCGCCTCAGGGTCTGGCTTGGCTGCATCGATAGCTAGGCTATGTCAGTTGGTATCTTATTGTCTGCCCTCCTCGCTCTTCCCCCACACAAGGTAACAGCTCCATTCAATCCATTTCCTGTATTAATGGTAAATCCCTACCCATCCTCAGATCAAACCATTGATTGAGAGACAACGACTGAATCATCCACTGTCTGAACAAACTAAAGAGACTGCTCCTGGAGGGCATGAGCCAGGGTCACAAGGTGAGAACAACACCCCTGGCACCTGTCCCACCCTGGTGATAGTGCTCACTGCTGAGGCTAGGAAATCATTCCCATCCTCTACTCTCGGTCCTGCGTTCTTCCTCTCCCTGTGCTGTCAGGGTCCCCAACACTTTTGTGAGCGCTCCCCTGAAGTAATAGGGAGATATTTCCACTCTCTTCCCCCGTGTTGCCCGGGCTCTTTAGTCTGATGAAAACTACCCCTCCTGGAGCCTGGGAGGGCCTGAGATGAATCCCGACATGCACACAGTTGTTTCTGATTGTGACTGGATACCAGACCAGTCTGGACTGAATTTTCCTTTTCTTTCCCATCATTAGCACCCTCTGCGCCGCTCGCTGGACAAGGCGTTGCTCCTGGAAATGGCCGGGCAGCGCATCCACACGTTGCAGCAGCAGGCCAGTAACGGGTCCATGTAAACAACCTCTTTTCCGCCCCGGAATGGGGCCCAGGTCCTCAAAAGTCTTTACACTTCCATGGTCCTCCGGGAAGCGGGGCCCTTGCTACCCGCCTCCCCCATCCCCACCCAGTGTTGCTATCCCAGCCTCGCACCCGACTTGGCCCCTCTGACCTTAATCCCTCCCGGATCTAGTATAAGCCGGTCACCTGCTGCTCTACTGTGCGTCTCAGCCGAGCGGTCCTGCGGCCTCCTCCGCCCCGGGACCCACTTGCGCGCGATCCCCGCCGGCCCAGCTCCGGCGACTCGCCTCGGGGTCTGACCGTCCGCGACTCCCCCAGGCCTGCGGCGCGGAGCCGGGCCCGTCCCGCCTGCCCTACCCTGCCCCGCCGCCGCGTCGCTCTGACGGGTGCGTGTCTCAGCATGTGCCGTTATCGCCCATGAACGGACTCTGAGATCACAGCCCCGCGCCTGCGCGCGCGCTCCCATCCCCCTGCGGATGCGGGCCAGCCGAGCCGTTGCGGAATCCGGAACAAGTAATAATTCAAAGCGGCGCCTCACGCAGCCGGAAGCGGCCCTGTTCTACAAGGAAGTACTTTCGAGTAGGGGAGGAAGTGACGCCTTGTCGGACGGAAGGACAGAAGTTACTCGGTTTCCGGCCCGGAAGTGTCTGTGTTTGAGGCCCAAGATGGCGGCGGGGATGTACCTGGAGCATTATCTGGATAGTAAGAGCCGGGGCGGTGCTGGCTCCTGCCGGGAGGGTCGTTGCCTGGGGCGGCTCTTGGTGGGAGCGGGTTCGGCTCGGGGCGAAGCGGCGCGCGGGCTTCCGGGGCTCGGCCAGACAGCTCCAAGCGCGCGCAGTCCCGCCCAGGGCGCTGTGGCGCGGACCGAGCCCGGCTAGCTCCAGTGTGCGGCGGCGACGGGGATTAAAGCGCGGCCCCGGCGCTGTGGCCCCTTCCCCGCGCTTCTGGGGTGGCGGACTCGCCCGGGTGTTGCGGAGCTGTTCGTGGTCCCTGTTCTTCTTGTGGTCTGTGGAGCCCGGCTCGATGTGGTCTGGGTCAGTCCCATACACCTGCTCTCGGCGCCAGATCCTGCCTCGGGTAGGGGTGGGGCTACTGGCTGCTTCCTCTTCTGCACCTTCTCGTTTGCATCCTTTCCTTGCTGACCTCTCCTTTCATCTCGGTTGATATGTTGGGGGGACGGTGTATTTTTTTAGCTTTGTTCCCCCTGCCCCATACTTCACATTCAACCCGTGGAACTTGTTGCCACAGGATGTTGTGAAGGCCAAGACTATAACATTTAAAAAAAAAACTAGATAAGTTCATGGAGGACAGGTCCGTCAATTACTATTAGCCAAGATGGTTGGGGATGCAACCTCATGCTCTGGGTGTTCCTAAACCTATGAGTGGGAGTGGACATTCCAGAAGCTGGGAGTGGACACTCGATGATTACCTGGTATCTTCATTCCGAAGCATCTGGCACCGGTCCCTGTCCGAAGACAGGATATCGGGCTAGATGGACCATTGGTCTGACCCAGTATGGCTGCTGTTATGTTCAGAAAGCAGATTGTTTGTGCCAGGCTCCTGCAAGAGCTGGTAGCCACACAGCTGGCATTGGTGTGGGTGAGGATTAAGGATATGATTCTTTCATGGAGGTTTCAGAAGTCACGGAATCTCTGACTTCCAGCAACCTCCATAACTTCAGCCCGCGGCGGCTGGGAGCTGTGGGGTACCCCCGCTGCTTGGCGGTGGGGGCCCCCGGAGCTCCGAGCGGGCCCTCACAGGTGCCTGGCTGCTGGGGGTGTGTGCGGACCCTGCAGCTGAGCTTCCCATTTTGTCATGGATATTTTTAGTAAAAGTCACGGACAGATCACGGCTTCCATGAATTTTTCTTTATTGCCCGTGACTTCTCTGTGACTTTAGTGATGGTTTGAGTAAAGAAGAGAGAAAGTAGTTAGATTTCAAGTTCTATCTCCTATAATTGACAAAAAACATATTTTTCTCCACTCCCCATGCCTCTCCCCACCCACCCCCCTTGGGAAGCAATAAAGGAGAGTGGATGGTATTCAGTGTTTTTCACTTCAGTATATGGGTGGAGAGGGTGGTGGTGATCTAAATTCCACTATATTTATGATTTTTCTTATATTTGTATGGTGTTTGTTATGGCTGGTTATTTTTATTTGCATAGCTGTTTTAACATTTTCCTTGCTTGTTTTTAGTTATAGAGAAAATGGTAATTTTATAGGTGAAGCTGGTAGCACCATCTTTTAAGATTACCTGATACTTCTCATTATAAGACCCTCGCTTTCAGTTGCTTATGACTTTACCAAACTTGATTCATTTTGGGGGGGGAAAGTCTTGTGAGCTGATTTTTTTTTTTAATTTCATCCAAAGTAGTTCAGTTGCTTCAGAGAACAAGTCTAGGAGAAAATGTTTTGCTATATTTAAAATAGATATGTTAGCAACCTATTCTTTAGATAGTGCTAGCATGTGTTAGGGTAGGGACTTGAAATTTGGCAGGGAAGTTGCCCTGGTTGTCAGGATTGTGCCTTTTACCATCCTGGAGAAAATTCACCCAAATACAGTAACTCCTCACTTAACGTTGTAGTTATGTTCCTGAAAAATGTGGAACGATGTTAAGTGAATCCAATTTCCCCATAAGAATTAATGTAAATGAGGGGGTTAAGTTCCAGGGAATTTTTTTTCACCAGACAAAAGTCTCTCTTTTATTTATATATATATATATATATATACACATACACACACACACACACACACACACACACACACACACACAC